AAGGTGAGGCAGGAGATTTCCTGAGTTAGGGAGAAAAGTTCAGGCTATATCATGAGTTCTGGACCAGCCTGAGCCCTGTAGTGTGAAGCTGCCTTTAAAATGTCCTATCACACCAGGAGCCTACTCCATATGCATTCATGGCACTGAAACAGGAAACAAATATTTCCGTACAAATTCCTGATGACTTCACGCCCACATTCTAAAATCTAATTAGATTAATTTCCCAGGGCATCTGTGTATTCTTGGGAGTGTGCAATTTTTCAGTATCAAAATAAAGCCTTATTCCTACGTGTGGGCGGTACTGACAGAATAAGCATGAGTGGTGCCTGCAGGGAAACAGGGCATCAGGGTGGGGCTAGAAGTCGAGTGAGCTGAGGTAGGAGTGGGGGGGGGCAGCGCTTCAGCAGAGCACTCGCCAGGCCCGAGCTCCAGGGCATCCCACAGTCGGCATGGGGGATGCAGAGCCTCAGAGGATGCTTGAGAACATGCTCTCCCTAGCCCAAACACAGTGCACACACGGTTTCAGAACAAACTCACAAACTGCAGAGTGAGAGCTGACTGCATGGTCCCTGGGTTGCTGGCGTGCCGGCTTTGCTTAACTTCTGCTAGGCAGGAGGCCTGGGTGCCAAGCTTGTCCAGAGGAAGAAACAGAGGTGACTGAATTCAGCGAGGCTTAGTCTCTCTTCCCAGGCCCTTTTGTTCTGCTTCAGCATACCTGGGGTCACCACTGTCCCTGTTGGCGACCTTGCTGTGCACATCTTCAGGTTTCTCCTACAGAAACCTCTGAAGGGCAAAGGCCTTCAAAGAACTCTGAGGAAGAGTTTCCAGAGCACTGTAAATGGTCTACAACCATTTAGAAGTCAAGGCAAAAGAGTTCGCACCTCTCCCAACCAGAAACTGTTAATCCTCACTACTTCCGGTTGAAAACAATCAGTATTGCCTGGTTTAACACCTTAATACATTATAAAGTGTCCTAATATAACTCCCGGAGCTACTGGGCCAGCATGCCATGAACCACGAGAGGAAACTGCTTTTCAAAAACAATTCTCCTATGTGTGTGTGTTTATGTGGAGTGGGGAGGGGGGGGGTGCCAAAGCACATATGTAGAAGATGAAAGAGGAACGTAGCTCGACTGTGTTCATTGGGGACAAGGAGTACGGGGGAGGTGACAATCTCTGTATCACCTACTCGCTTTTACTGGAATCTCAAACATTTCTACAAAAGCCTACTTTTTAGGGCGTCTAAGAATACATATAGAGAGAACACATACATATTATGTATAATCATATATTAAACATATACATGTCAACAATTATATATATTATATACATTACACACACAAACACAATCTCAACAAGTTGCTCAGGGGCTCACACATGCTGGTCAAATGCTACACCAATACACTATACCCCGGCTCTGTTTTGATAAATCTTCTGTAGAAACATAGATGTCCCTTGCGGTTCTGATGTCCCCGCCTGGACATTAAACCTATATTGCATGTGCTGCCAGGAGGGTAAGTGCCGCCCTTCATCCCGCACAAAAACCGTGGAGGCTTGAGGTATGTTCACTGCTATATAGTTACAGAAATGATTTATTATAACCCTGTTACAGGATGATTGTTGAAATTTGTAATTAACTGACTTTCTTTTCTTTCCTTTTTTTTTTTTTTTTTTTTTTCTTTCCACACTGGGGATGAACCTAGGGCTTCACACAAGCTAGGCAAGCAACCTATCATTGAGCTCAGGTTTCAGCTTTAACCTAATCACTTTAAAAACTGTGATCTAAGAAGGCAGAGGCAGAGACAGGAGGGTCTCTGTGAGTTCAAAGCCAGCCTATCTACATAGTTTGCTCCATGCCAGCCAGGGCTACACAGTTAGACCCTGTCTCAAACAAAAGCAGATTTTAAATAAATAAATAAATAAATAAATAAATAAATAAATAAATAAATAAATTTTTGAAAAAAAAAAAAATTAAAAGCTGCCATTTATATTTTGTTTTGCGTTCTCCCCTCGCCAGTACCCGGGGTAGAACTCAGGCTTCATGTGTGCTATGCAAACCACTGATCTATGTGCCCAACCCTTTCCGTGTTCTCAATTTTTGACATAAACTCTCACCTGAAGTTGCTCAGGCGGGCCTTGAACCTTCAGTCCTCCCATCTCAGCCTCCCTCCAGCTGGGATTACAGACCTGACCAGTAGGCCTGGTTTTATTACACTCCTTTGATACAAAAATACAACTTTTATAACTTCCTCATAACTTATAACATTTTACAAATTATCAAAGCTCACCTAGACTGTGAATGCTTTCTGCTTTAAAGTGGGAAAGAAAGAAAGAAAGAAAGAAAGAAAGAAAGAAAGAAAGAAGAAAAGGGTCTTACTCCTACCAGGATGTGGCTTAAGAGAGGGCTTCTCATCAAAGCCAGAAGTTTTCTTACGGCCTTGATCAACTTTCACTAAAGTCCCTAGACTGTGTAAAATCTGTTAATATCACTGAAGGTCCACGAGAGCTGCAGCCACCTGCCACCAGTCACTCATGGCCACCAAACTGCACTACTCCATCTAGAAGCATCATTCTGGCAAGTGAGGCTTTTGGGCCCCATCATTATCTCATTACACATGAGCGAGGTCCCAAAGCCACCATGTAAGGAAAACCCTTAATCAGGGCCCTGGCCTGGCCGCCAGGCCCTCTGCACATCTCCAAGCTCCTGACCACGAGACACACAGCCAGCTTCTTCTGCCCTGCTTTGCTTCATTCCTCCAGGCTGGCTTTATCTCTTTCCCTTCTTTCTTTTCTTTTTCCTTCTTGAAAACTGTTTTCAAAAAGCCAAGATAACTGACAGTGGACATTTTTGCCTTAAAATTTGAATTTTGCAAATTTTTCTTGATAGTGTCATAACATGCTCACGCATTCCCTCCATTAAACTATAAGCTACCCAAAGGCAAAGGCCTGTACTCAGCATGCCTTAAAAACAAAACCAAGAATTAAACCACCCTTTTATCATTGTCATATACTTCATATATAATATGGCTGGCCAACGTGTTATAAATAAACTCACAAGGTTACCAAATAAAATAAAACCAAATATTTCATCTCTCTTGCCATTAAACATATCTCCCAGGCATTCTGGTTTTTCTCTGCACCTCCAGTCTCGATTTGTCCCCAGCATCTTGGCAGCACCAGGCAAGTATTTTACCACGGAGGAACATCTTTGGCAGCTTTTTGGTTTGCTTTTTCAGACAGGGTCTTGCCATGCAGCCCCGCTGGCGCTCGCTATGTATTCCAGTCTGGATGCAAACTCACAGACATCTCCTGCCCCAGCCTCTCCAATGCTGGAATTACAGGTGTGAACCACACGGCTGGCTCCTGGGCTTGACTTCCTGTCTTCCACTCCCAAAAGACGCAGGAAGGGCAGCCATGCTGTCGGTTCTTCCGGCAGCCACTTGCCCTCTTCTGGATCACCCGCTGCTAGAACAGCCACCAACACGCGACCAAACGTCCACCTCCCTAAGTCACTCGGGAACCATGGATCTTCTCCCTTCCGGTATGGATGGAGTGAGGGGACCACATGCCCGGACTTCTATTCTGTCGCTCACCATGACTTCTGATGTGCCCCCCACCCCAGGTGTCTCTCTCTCTCTCTCTCTCTCTCTCTCACACACACACACACACACACACACACACACACTCAAAATCAACCAACCTACTAACAACAACTCAAAAACTAAACCGCGGGAAAACAGAAAACAGCGCTGAAAGGCGGACAGTTTTGCCTAATGGAGGTCTGCACAAGTGCTTCAAATTATGTGTTAATTTGCTTTCAAAATGGGTGTGCGCACACACCACCTGACACTCTGACAGCTGAATGAATGGGAATCCCTTCGACAGAGGATGTTTATGAAATGAGTTATCTCAATTTACAGGAGCCACTGCTCGGGATTCCGGTACTAACAGAAGCTGCTATCGTCTAAGAAATGGTTATGTAAAAACAATTAAGGCAAAAAAATATATATATATTAAGGAGGACGCATTGCATTTCTCTAACTGCCCTAATCTTGTTTTATTTTGACATGACGCTTCTTGGCCTCATCTTGGATGGCAACATCACCCCACACTTTCTCCTCCACACCCTTCACAAATGGAATTCAGAAAGGTAGTCAGCGGGCAGTTTGGAGTCCATCACTGGCACGTTTCGGCGCAGTAACCGCGGCTTCGTCCCCACCTTCACCCGGCTGCGCCGCCAGCCTATGCCCAGCCTTTCCCAGGTTGCGTCCAGAGGAAGGCAGGGCAACAGGCCCTGTCCCTCGGCCAACGGCCTTTCGTTCCCGGAGACTGCCTGAGAGCTGCCCCGGCGTCCTCTGACCGCCCTCGGTGGGACGGTTTCCAGCACAAGCTCGCTAAACCACCTGCACCCCCAAAGGAAGGATCCCCGAGAGGCCATCCCCTTTTGAAACCGTTTCGTTTTCTCTGGGCAGCAGGACAGAAACCGGTCCTCCGCAACCCGCTCTTCCCTGGTATCCTATGATCTCCCCTACTGCTGTCTGCCCGACTAGAGCCGCGGCTCCCTCGAATTCAGAATCTGAGCTGTCCCCCGAAGAATTACAAGTGCGCCCCAACAGCCCCAGGGCTACAGTCCTCACTTTCAGAGGGAAGACCTCACCCTTCGCTCCAGGCACCCCAAAACCCAAGACCCCAAACCCCGCGCCCGCCAGGCCGCCCCGCCCCCGGGAGCAGCGCGGGATCCGCCCGCACCTCGGAGCACAGATTGGCCCCATAGCTCCGACCAAGGGAGCGCGCAATTACGCAGCCCCGCAGCGCGCGGGCCCCACGCCCCCCGGGACTGCCCGCGGGCTGCCGCTCCGGGAGCCGGGACCCAGCCCCGGGCCGCCTCCAGGCCGCCGGGGCCACCCGATCCGCGTTCCGTCCGCGCTGGGCGACGACGCACGCCGAGGCCCCTCGCTGCGCCACCCGCCCAGGCCGCCCGCGGCCCGGCCCCTCACTCACCCAGAGCTCGGTGCCCCAGCTCATGGTGCAGGGACCGGGAAGGGGCCCCGGACCCTCTTCGCCGGCGATCGCTGCGGCCCTCCGGACCCTGCGGATGCGGAAAGCCCGTCGCCCGCCGCCTTCTCCGGCCCGCGCCTCCTCTGGCCCCGGCTCTCCACCTCTCGTCGCTCCGCGCGGAGCAAAATGGCCCGAGGAAGCAGCAGCAGCAGCGCCCGCCGCAGCGCGCCCGCCCCGCACCGGAGCCGAGGGGCGGGGCGGGGCGGGGCGAGGGGCGGGGCGAGGCGGGGCGGGGCGGGGCCGGTCTGACAGCTCCCGCGTACCGCCCCGCCCCGAGGCTCCCTCGGACCGGGTTGCCAGGGGTCTGGAAGGAGACGAGCCCCTCAGGACCTCTCCACGCTCTCGGGGCCCGCGCTCACTGCCTGCAGACTGGGCCGCTCGTGATCACGACGCTCCGTCGCGGTCCGCCTTCCATCTGCCGCGCCCAGCGCCGCTTTGCAGTTCAGAACTTTCGCCCCGTCGTCACCGACGCCCACCTTAGAGGCTCCCGGAGCGGCTTCTCCTTATTCAGCCGCCGCAGAGGCCCAAGGAGCCCGGCAGCTCGCGTGGGAGTGGGGCCTGGAACCGTGACGTCGGTGCGCTGTGAACACAGGGAGGAAAACAGCAACACGGCAGACCCCGGAAGCTAGGGAAGAAACTCGGAAATGTACGCCCCCCAAATTGTAATCTGTGCCCTTTTCTATTTGTTGAGCAAGGAATCTCGGCAGTGAAGCTCTGTCACCTCGTTGAAGGACAGCAGGCTCTCTGAAGGGCCCGCAGAGAATTTGGAAGGGTCAAACCCAGCCTTCGCGCTCATTGGCTGGGTGGTCTTGGACCAACGTCACCCGCATGTAGTAGGAGAGGCCCAGCTGCCGAAAGGAGGCTGTGTCTACCAGTCCCGGCCTAGTGGTGGGAACCAAGAAGGTGAACTGGCCAGTGGGTGTCCGATGCGGAATGAGGACCACTCATTAACTCTTCCAAAGCTCTACAGAATGTCATTTCTCACAAGCTGTCGGGAGTCTGGGGCCTTCCAACTGTCTCCTCAGAATCCCTCAAGTCCTTTTTTCCACTTTTCTTTCTCTCAATACTATTGCTGAGACCTTTCCTCCAGAGCCATGACCCTCTTCTAGACCGTTTCTCTACTCCCTGTTCTCTTGAACCTGTTCATCTTTTAATTCCAAGACGTTAATTCTCCTTAAAGGGTGGTGACCCGTACGTGTAGTCTCAGCCCTCCTGAGGCAGAGGCAGGAGGATTGCTACAAGTTCCAGGCCAATGTGAGCCCTATCACAGGTGCCGAGCAGGCTGACCTGGACTTCGAAGTAAAACCTTGACTACAATAAATAACAATAGCAATGACAACAGTGGTGGTGTGGTGAGGGGCATAGGTCGGTAGATCTCTACAAGACCCTGTCTCAAAAGAACAAAAATAGGCACAAAATAATACATTTGTTTAAAAAGTAAAAGGAGAGAAAGAAAAAGGAAGGAGAGGTGGAGCTGAGAGTCTTGCTTCAAACCTCAGGACCTCCTACTTCCTTTGCTGGGTAGTTACATTGAAACTATCAAAACTATTTCGGTCTGTCTTTCGTCAGTTACAAGCCCCTGCCCCCATCCTTTGTGTCTGTTTAAATATTTAGCTCCCACATTTACCAGGTCTGAGCACTCTTTACTCCCTAGACAGCTGGATATATAAGAGTCAGATGGCCAGCCGCCTCCCGGCCAAGGCAGATTAATGGCTAGGGTGAGTTGAAAGGGCTTGGAAACGTAAACAGTGTTAACAATGCCTGGGGGTTGTTTTGCTTTTTGAATGTGTTCGGGTGTTTGTATGCATGTATATCACTGCACCACTGTTCATGTCTGGTGCCCTTGGAGGCCAGAGAGGGTGTCGGATCTCCTGGAACTGAACTGCAGGTGGTTGTGACTCACCCATGGGTGTTGAGAGTCAAACCCAGGTCCTCTGGAGGAGCAACCAGTGCTCTTAGCCACGCTGAGCCATCTCCCCAGCCCCAACAATGCCACTGGGTTTTATTTGCTCCAAGTTGGAAAGGGCCAGTAACCTCGAAAGACCCTGCCAGCTCATCAACATCATCTATGTCTATCTTCCTGCTTGTTTGTTGTTTCCTTTCCAGTTCACAAAATGATCTAATCTCGATTTCAGAAAACTAACGTGACCACTTGCAAATAAAATAGGCTAGCCAGGAGGTAAAGCAGCCTGTGCCCTAAAGAGAAAGAAGTGGAAGGGACTGCAGGAGAGATGCCTGAAGATGAAACTTTTTATGTTAGTAAGCAGAAAGTGTTCCCTTACGGAGCCTCTGAAAGCCAAAGGGGAGCTGCAGGAGCCCAGGTAACTGAGCACACCTAAAGTATCTTTCACTGGGCTAAGTCTGGAAGGCAACTGGAGAATGCCTGAGCCAAAGCTTCAGAAAAGGAACCATAAATGCAATATTGATTTTTTTTTTTAAGCAGGGGTGTGCTCACTCTATGCAAATGCTGACCTCACCACAGCCACACACCTGCTGTACCTTGAACCAAGAAGAAGTTGTTGCCTTTGTCTTCGAATGATCTGATGGCATGGACGGGGTTAGCCCTGAAAGAAGGCATCTGGACAAACAGCCAGACACTATCTGCTCAGGCTTCTGGCTGGTTGGTTGCTCTCTTTTTAACGCAGTTGTACGAATCTATTCATTTAGCTGTGTATGAGTGGGTGTGGACACACAGCAAGCGTGTGGAACAACTTGTGGGAATTGGTTTTCCTCCTTCCACAATGTGGGTTCCAGGAACTGAATTTAGGTAACCAGGCTTGATGGGAAATGCCTTTACTGATTTTTTTTTTCTGAAACAAGATCTTACTCTGTAGCCTGGAGGCCCAAAACTTTGCCAGGTGATCCTCCTGCTTCAGTCACCATTTCTGAGTAGTTTGAAGCAAATTTATTTGGTTAGTTCTAACCCTGTTTAGGATTAATGGACATCTCACATGGGGTACTTCTTCAGTGGCAGATAGACTGGGGTTTCCGGAGCAGATGGGGTTTTATGATTGTTGGAGATCCCTGTGTTCAGTCCTTGCTAAGTGTGTGGCTTCTGGCAACTTACAGCCTCTGAGCTTCGGTTTCCTCATTCACAAAAGGGGTTTCACAGACGTCCAGGAGGCTGAAATGCCCAGCAAACACATGCTGTCGTGAGGCTCAGCTCTGCAGAGCTCAGTGCCGGCAGCTGCAGGGCCTCCCGTCTCCAGACCCCAGTTTCCTCTCTTACAATGAACAATGACCTCATGACCTTTCCAAATACTAGAAGAAAGTATCTGCAAAGCGCTTAGCCAAGAGGGCACAGGCACAGGTTTCCTTTGACCCTGTGTGACGCAGCAAGGAAGCAGTGTCTTACAAAAGTTGCTGCTACAGCTAGACCCCCAAGCCAGGAAAACAGGACAGATGATAGTGGTCTATCACTGAAGTTTCCCAATGACCTTTCGTTTGTTTCGAATAGTCTCTATCCTATTTTAGCTTAAAATTTCCCATAGTTCAACTTACAATGGAGTTAAGTCTCAATAAACCCATTTTTTTTTTTATTGTGTACATCCATGTCTGTTTTGGAACTCCCTATGTAGACTAGACAGAGATCTGCTGGTCTAGATCTTCTTCTTGAGTGCTGGGATTAGAAGAGTGCACCATCAAGCCTGGTTTACTGTGTTTTGTTTTGTTTCTTTTTGGTGGTAGTAGTGTTTTGTTTTCCAGACAGGGTCTCTCTATGTAGTCCTGGAACTCACTCTGTAGACCAAGCTGGCCTCAAACTCACAGAGATCTGCCTTCCTCTGCTTCCCCAGTGCTGGGCTTAAAGGCGTGTGCCACCACTTCCGGGCTTTTGTTGTTGTTGTTGTTCTTTTTTAAGACAGAGTTTCATGTAGTCTAGGCTGTCCTCAAACTCACCAAGTAGCCAAGGCTGGCCTTGAACTGACCTTAGTTTAAAAATAATTTCACTTAGTATTCTAGGAAGCCCACAATTGTTGGTTAAGCCATGGTAAATTGAGAACCAGCTGAACATGCTCAGGAAGCAGCCAAGAAGTAGGACAGGATAACACTAGGAACTTTCTAGTGAATGCAGTCTTAAAACTACAACTACACTTTAACACCAGATTGCTGGGTTCTCTGAAAAAATGAAGTTCAGGCTGCCACACGCTGAGCAGGTTGCATACAGTATCCCGGGTTGAAAGCTGATTCTCAGGTTCATCTCTTGTCTACCTGCAGCCCACTGAAGGTGTGTTGGGGTCACTGGACCAACATCTTCCCAGTTGCCAGGAAGATGCTCTCAAGGGGTTCTTCTGTGTCCCAGGAGATGCCTGAGATTCTCCAACACAATCTGGAAGACAGAGCCAACTGTTACCAGGCCCCACGAGCTTCCGGTTCCTTCCACTGTGTTAGCTTTGGGGTCTGAAAGGACTCCTCTGAAAAGACAAGCAGACCTGTGTGACAGCTCAGCAGGTGAAGGAGCTGCCTCCAAACCTGGCCCCTTGAGTTTTGACCCTGTGACTCACATGGCAGAAAGAGAGAACAGTTTTTAAACATTATCCTCTGACCCGAACATATTCTCCATGGCATGTGCCCCTCCCCCAGCACATACATACATGAATGTAACAAACATTTTGGTAAAAGGAAAGACAAGTGGACAAAAGGCGGTGTCCGAGCCCAGGCTAATTGTTATCCATCACGCTGTATCCAAACGGCAAGTTTGATTTGAGACACTTGTTTCCTACCAGCGGCAACCCTGAACTGATCCTGCAAGCTGGAAAGGCCGGCGGTTACAAGAACAAGACTCAAAGCCAGGGTCTAGGAGCTGTGTCCTTGTTGACCTCCAGGCTTTTCAAGTCCCTGCCTTGCCTCGATGCCCCTTGGAAAGCGCTGCCAGGGAGAAGCAGGCAGAACTTGTTTTGTTGCTCAAGGTATGTTGTTGCAGCATCCTGGTTACGCAAATGACCTCTGGAAACTCAGAAGTCACAAGTCACGTGTTAGGCCTTTCTGGGACCCAGTGTTTGAAGAGCATTCCACCTGACTCCTTGTACCAAGTTTCAAAGACTTTATGAGGGGTCTTCCATGCTCCTTCCTCTGGACTGCAAAATACCAGAGTCCACAGGGTTCCCAAACATGAGAAGATAGACATTCTCACAGCCCACTGAGCAGGTCTGCCTGGTATATGCTTATAGAGATTCGGTCATCCTTCCCACGGTTAAAAATGAAGGAACCCTAAAGATTTACTTTTAAGGTCTGGCAAAACTTAATACAACGACAAGAGAAATTCTTCTTTGGAATAGGCATTGTACCAGCACTGAGAGGAACTGAGGATACCTGGACATTCTGATTTTTAGTGCTAGTCAAATTAAAGATGCACCTTCTAAAAAGTGACATTGAACTTTATTGTTTATTGGTTTTTGTTTTTACCTATGTGTCTATGTGTGGGGGGGCTGGGGTGTACCAGTGGAGAAAGACAGTGAATCCTCTGGAGCTAGGGTGACGGTGGTTGTGAGCTACCATGTGGGTGCTGGGAACTGAACCTGGGTCCTCCAGAAGAGCAGCAAGTGCTCTTAGCCATTGAGTCACCTCTCCAGCCCACATTATCATCATCATCATCATCATCATCATCATCATCATCATCATCCTGAAAAAAGGTCTCATACACAGATCTGGCTGTACTAGAACTCACTCTGTAGACCAGGCTGGTCCCAAACCCACAGAGATATATAGTGGAAGTTTTGGTTTCTTCAAAAACTCAGGCTGGACAAGGTGAGGAACACGTGTAATCCCAGCACTCTAAGAGGCAGAGGCATGTGAATCTCTGTGAGTTCAAGTCCAGCTTGGTCTACAACACGAGTCCAGGACAGCCAAAGCTACACAGAGAAACCCTGTCTCAAAAAAAAAAAAAAGAAAACAAAACAAAACAAAAACAAACAAAACAAAAACAAACAAACAAAAAAAAAAAACAAAACAAAAAACCAAATCAAGCCAAAACAAAACCTCAGTTATGGTATGTAAGCAGGTTTTTGTTTTAATCCCAAGTGTGGAATATGGGGCTGCCTTAGTTTATCCACAGCTGATAACTGCCTCATAGGGCTCAGGAGGAGTGTAGTCTTTGCCAGCTAGAGTTGGTGGAATTCTGAGGACTCTGGGAAGGTATAAATACTAGAGCCCAGAGAGAGGAAGAGGCTTAGAGGAGATGGATGGAAGAGAAGGATGCTGTTTGTTCATCCTGCTGCAGCGTTTGCCACTTGCTGGACTGCTAGACATCCTGAAGATAGAGACTGGTATTTTCCCAAAGAACCAAAGCTTAACCAGCTGGAACTAAGTCTAAAGATATCTATGTACCTTTTCTCTTCTAACCTTCTTTCTCTCCTACCTAAGGCTGAGGGGTTGAAGGGAAGGTAGAGGCTTAAGGAACCCCAAATAAACAGAGTTTAAAAAACAGTGCCTAGAGAGATTCTCCTCCCTCTGCCTCCTGAGTGCTCGAAGTAAAGGCATGTGTTGTCATGCCTGGCTATTATTATTGTTGTTGTTGTTATTATTATATCTATGTGTATGTCTGTCTGCATGTATGTAAGTGTGATGGTGCCAGAAGAGGCCACTGGATCCCGTGGAACTGGTGCTAGTCACCACATGGTAGTAGGAAACAAATCCGAGTCCTTTGCAAGATCAGTAAGTGCCAAGCTATCTCTCTAGCCCTGACTATTATCGGTTGGGAACTGACTTTAAAAAGTAAAAATATGATGGGAATATGGCTCAGTGGGCTTGTCTGGCATGCATGAAGCCTTGGGTCAATCCTACATCAAAAAGGAAAATTTAACTTAAAAAGTCATCTGTGAACTTACTAGTTTTTTTTTTTTTTTAAGTGAAAATCATTTAAGTAGTGCTGGAGAAATAGCTCAACAGTTATGAGCACCGGCTGCTCTTCTAGAGGACCCAGTTTCATTCTCAGCACTAATGGTGGCCAACCACCGTGTGTAACTCCAGCTGCAGAGGATCTGATGCCCTCTTGGCCTCTGCAGACTACTGCACTTGCGTGTGCACACACACACATACTCAGACACACATACACAGAAATTTTTACATTTTTTCTTAACTGTCTTTAACCTTCTTGCTTCCCAAAACAAAGTATCCGTTGTTTTTTGTTTTTTTTGTTTTTTTTTCATTCTCTCTTTTTCAAGATTTTTGGAATGTTCTGGTGTGGGAACCAAACCGAAGATCTCATTCATGCACATGCCAGGCTACTAAGCTACCTCCGCAACAGCAGACTTTTACCCCAGGCTCCCTAACACAGGGTCAAAGCTCGCTACCTTTTTAAAACACAAAATTATAAAAATCAGAAAGCTGAGGCTAGAGAGGCGGCTCAGCGGTTGAGTGTGTACTGCTCTTACAGAGGATCTGAGCCTGGTTCCCAGCATCTGTGTCCAGAGGCTCAGTACCACCTTCCAGCTCCAGGGGTTCTGAAACCCTCTGCTGGTGGGTCATTTATATAAACAGACCACCTCTGAATTAATTCACCTAACCAAACCTGATCTGAAAAAAGAAAATACACACCTCATAAGACTTTCATGCATATAGATCACATAAGTGATTAAGTTCACTCAGAAAATAATTACTCATCTTTCTGAGTAGGGCTGCAAAAGATTAATTCTAGAATTTCCTGTTCCAAGTTTCCCTATCTGAAAGGGGGTGGGATCAGGTGAAACTCCTGTTCAAACGTGGAAGATTGCATACTCATAAGAGATGGCCCAAGACCCAAGGGGAAGGGAAGGCCAGGCACCAGGAGTAATCACCGCCTTTCCCTCCCATGAAACTTAAAGGTATTTTAAGATAAACTACAACCTTAAGATAAACTAAAGCCTCCACCTCATGTTCTACTTTTGCCTTTGAAGAGGGTGTAACTGAACTTGGACTGGTTTTTTTAGTTAAGGGAAGGACTAGGGGATTTATCAGTTTATGAAGATGGTTCACACAGAGGCAAACCTAGGACCTTCTTCAGCCGGGAGCCCCATCTCACTTCCAGTTCTGCACCTCCTATGATTATTTTTTTAATTTTGTTATTTTTAAATTTTATTTTATGTACATTGGAGTGAAAGTGTCAGATCCCTTGGAAAGGGAGTTACAGACAATTGTGAGCTGCCATGTGGGTGCTGGGAATTGAACCCGGGACCTTTGGGAAGAAGGGCAGACAGTGCTCTTAACCACTGAGCCAACTCTCCAGCATCCCCTATAATTTTTTTTTATTAGACAGGGTAGCCCCAACCAAGTGATTTTTTTTTTTCAAGACAGGGTTTCTCTGTGTAGCCCTGGCTGGCTTTGAATTGGGAGGTCTGCCTGCCTCTGCCTCCCTGCACCATCACCTCCCAGTTCCAAGCAAAAAAAAATTTAAAAATGAAAATAAATAAATAAATAAATAGATAAATAAATAAATAAATTTTAATTTGACTGCTTTGTGTCATTAATTTGAACATGTTGGGCTGGAGAGATGGCTCAGCGGGTGAGAGCTCTTGTACTCCCAGAGGACTGGCTTTTGGGTCCCCAGCAAGCACACTGGGTGATTAACAAGCACCTGTAACTCCAGCTTCCGGAGATCTGATGCCCTCTTCTCGTCTCTTTGGGTACCTGCTCCATGGCATGTGTACACACAGACAACATAAATAAGAACAAGCTGAATTCCCTTCCTATCTCTATGTATTTACAGCTATAGATCTATCATGTTGGGTTGGAGACATTGCTCAGGGGTCAAGAGTACTTTCTACTCTTTGAGTACCGGAGTCCAGTTTCCAGCACTCCTGATGTCAGGCAAAACACAACTGCCTGTAACTCCAGCTTCAGAGGCTCTGACACCGTCTTCTGGTCCCCTCAGGTACCTGCAAATGGCGCGCGCGCGCGCGCACACACACACACACACACACACACACACACACGTATATGTAAACAAACAAGACTTTAAAATATACCCTGTTCCTAGTTAAAAAGATTTAGGAATCTGATTCTGTTGTAGGTGTCAACACATCTGTGCAATGGTAGTTACCTGGTAATGGGGGGCTTGTGGTTTTATTATGTCCTGTTTTGCCTAAATAGTTTCACACACATACACAAAAGCACACATTACTAGTGTGTCCAGTTAAAAACAAGAATCTAAAAACTAAACAAATTTGGTTATCAGCAATTTTAATAAGCTTGTTTCCTGTAAGACCTTGATAAACAATGGTATCGGGGACCCACTATCAAGGCCTTCTGTGAAGTTCCAAGAACCAGAAACAAAGTTTCCACAGACTCTAAAATAGAAAACATTAACGCTCAGACTCTAGTGGTGGCATGAAATCACATGAGACAAAGTGACGTATCAGTTCAAAATTTCCATGTGATCGCCAGCTCAGCCTGGACAGGATGAGCATTTCTCAGAGATTAGGTAGAGCATCGGAGAACTATGACACCTACCTCTTATCTGATTAGATTGTCCCAAAGATTAAATGACAGTTTAAAAAAAAAAAAAAAAAAAGCCTAGTGGGTTGCTTCATATGGACTCAATAAATCCTATCTCTGCAACTATTTCGCCTGCGGTTTGTGGAAAAGGCCTAGGATAATAATAATGCAAGGGATCTAATACAAGACAGCAATTTCTAAGGTAGTATCACCGACAAACAAGCCAATCAGCTTCCAGGGGCTGTGCGGCAGACAGTGCGGGTTCCAACCTTTGGTCCAGGTCCCTCACTCCCCAGTGCCGGCGCGGCAGAAAGGTTGGGCTTGCCCCGCCATGGTTGTCATGGCAAACGCTTCAGCGTCTTCACAGGGGCTTCACCGGAAGCCGTCCTGAGGAAGGCAGCTGAAGAGTATCTCAGTGGTCCCGCAGAGCTGCGTTTTCCAGCAAGATGATCCCTGGGGCCTCAGAGGCGGCAGCCGCGCCCCCTTCCAGAGCACGTCCGGGACGCCGCTCTTTGACCCGGAAGTGGCTGGGAGAGGAAGCAGCTGGTGATGCTGGAACAAACATGGCTGTCCCGGTACCCCTCGGCCGCTCGGGCTCCTTCTGTCTGCGGCTGCTACCGCTGCTGGCGCTGCTGGAGCTGCTGGTCGACACCGGCTTGGGCCGCGTCCACCACCTGGCGCTCAAAGTAAGGACTGGCGGGCTGTGGGCAGGGTCAGGGAATGGAGACCGGGGCACGTCCGCTGCGCCGGGCTGAGCCAACTTTGGCCCTGCGGGGTCTCCAAGTTCGTGTCCTGAGCGAAGAGTCTGCGCGGCCCTTTAGGGTAGTCTGGTCCTTGCTGGTTTGAGGTTGGAGGGAAGGGGCCCAGCCGCGGCCAGAATCCCAAAGGGCCCGGGAGGCCGCTCCTACGATCCCTGCTGGCTTCCCTGGATTCCACGTTGGTGGTAACCTCCTTTCCCTGCTCACCCTTACACAACTTTAATCCCAGTTTCTCCTGTTTGCCAACTCCGCCCTTCTGCGCTCCTTGATCTGGCGCTTTGAACTTGTGCGGAATCTTAGCCTGTTTCCTTGCTGGTTTTAGGGTGCCTGATTGACTGACCAAAGTGAGGGTCCTCAAGAGGAATTTAAATCCTTCTTGAAATACATGCCTTGATTTCAAAAAGAAAAAAAAAAAAAAAAAGAAGAAGAAAGAAAGAACAACCCTGAGAATTTAAACTCAGTGTCCAGAGTGTTTTAAGCAGTGGGGCTTTTTCTTTCTCTATGGTCGTTGTCTAAGGCAGATGTTTATGACAGGCCTGGAATCAACACAAGGGACCGCTATGGTAACCCACAGTGTAAAGTTCTCTAAGGTTTATACATGACTGTCAGCAGGTTAATATGTCTGGGGAACAGAAGATTACATCATTGTGACTCAAAGCCCTGTACATCTGTCTAATAATCAGGGTTCCAAGAAGTTTGTGGACCTGACACAGCGGTCTTTGTAAAAACATGTTGCATCAGGCGTGAAGCGCCAAGGCTGTGTATGTAGAGTTTTAAAGAGTACAGACAAGCCGGGCGTGGTGGTGCATGCCTTTAACCAAGCATTTGGAAGGCAGAGGCAGGCGGGTCTCTTGAGTTCGAGCCCCGTCTGGTCTACACACAGAAACCCTGTCTGGAAAAAGAAAGAAAGGGGGGAAAAAGAGTATAGACTCTAGGTTTGAAACCTGGTCCGATCCATACAGGCATACTTTAGCTCTCAGCTCGTGTTTGTAAACTGAAATGGTCTCGAGAAAAGTGGTTCTAACCACATCAGTACAGGTCAGTCTTGGCTCCTTTTGCAAATTCAATGAAAGCTGTAGAGCTCTTCCCAGAGAATCGCTTGTTGAAGGCCACTGGGGCTTCATAATCCTGGTGCGGTTTATCAGCGGATCCCAGTTTGCAGGTTAATCACTCTGGGGTAAGAACCTCTGGTTTCTAAGTTCTCTCATTTTGAGCTTCACAGATTGTTTTTATTGAGTACATAACGTAGCAGAGTTCATAAAGCTCAGGAATTAGAAACAAACCATTATACAGGACACATTAAGACCATGTCTTCTGGTTCCCTGCCCAACATTTCTACTGTAAAAGTGCCATTTGAGAAATACTTATTAGCCAGTCTTTGTGGCCAGTGTAGTCCAACCTTCTATATCAATCTTTATATGTTGTGAAGCAAACGTAGAGTATTTTGGCAGCCGATTCTCTCCTGTGCCATATGACTTGATGGTTTTCTCTCTTGTAACATGTTTCCTAAGCTTATTCTATAATCGATACTAGAATCTTTTTTCTTAGACAGTCTTAATTTATTGCCTAAGGAAAGGACATTTACCTGCAGGTGGCCTGCTAAAGAAGCAGGAGACGGTCTTGCTTTGCTTACAGTTGGGAAGCATTGATCAGTTTAGAAACCCAGGCTGGCAAGAACATGAAGTGATCACCAAATATCAGGGATATGCATTGATTTGAAAAAAAAAAAAAAAGATTCATTTTATTTTTCTTCATGTGTATGTGTGTGTGTGTGTGTGTGCGTGCATGTGAGAGCAGGTTGCCTTGGAGCTGGAATACAGGCAGTTGTGAGCTGTCACGTGTGTGCTGGAAACTGAACTCGGGCCCTCTTCAAGAGCCGTGCATTCTCTAACCTCTGAGCCATTTCTATAGCATTGACCTCTACAAGAACTTCTAGCGGGACAATTGTAAGTGCGCGGGGTTTGGCACGATGTATAATGAACCCCATGTCTGTGTTGAGGCTCCAGTAGCTGTTAGCAACTACCCCTGCCCCTCTCCTGCTGATGTCACCTTTCTATCCTCAGCTTTTTTAGTTTTCTAAATTAGAAAAGACCCTTCATGTTAAATGGACTTTCTTTGTTTTCTATCTCTCTTATCCTTTGACCTTTCTATATATTCCTTACCTTTTTTTTTTTTTGACAGGGTTTCCCTGTGTAGCCCTGGCTGTCCTGGAGTCACTTTGTAGACCAGTCTGGCCTCAAAACTCACAGAGATCCTCCTACCTCTGCCTTCCAGAGCACTGGGATTAAAAGCATGTGCCACCATGCCTAGCTGTATTCTGTACTTTTTAAAAGCAACTTTTTTGAGGTGTAATTTCTATACATTAAAGTCCTATATTTTAATTATTAGGTGTTTGTGATTACTCATTATTTACTATAATTGTCACTACTACCCAGCCATAGGACATTTCTGTTGCTTTCCAAAGATCTCCTACACTGACTTTTCAATCTCCTTTTTATCTCTATGCCCAAGCAAACATACTTCTACTTTGTGTGTTCATAGGGTTGTCCCTGCCAGCTACTTCATGAAAAATGGAGTTGCACAGCAGGTAGGCTTTTATCCCTGGCTTCCTATACCTTTTAGGTTTACCCATGTTGTACCATGGTGCTGTAATTTTATCTTTTGTGTGAACATGTACTCTGTGTGCCTGTGTTTATATCTGTTTATGTATGTGTGTTCATGTAGAAGTCAGAGGACAGAATTGGTGTCCCATCTTGTTTGAGGCAGATAATTAATGTTTGTTTGTTTGCTCTTCTATCTGTTAGCTTAGCTTGCAAGTTTCTGGGAATTCTCCTGTCTCTGCCTCTAATAGACATACATGCTAGAATTACACATGAGTGCTACCATATCTGGCTTTAGGTGGGTCCTAGTGATCCTCCTGCCTGTGTGGCAAGCGTTTTACCTACTGAGCCATCTCCCTGACCTAGTCAGTAATCTGATGTTATTTATTGTTGAATACTACTGCACTCTGTGGCTGATGACCTTTTGCCTAGCCTAGCTGCCCTGTGTTTTCCTGCCTCGGTCTTCCCAGTGTTAAGACCACAGGAGTGTCCCATGCCCATCTCTGTGTCTTTTTTATTACAGTAAATAACCCTCCCACCATCGTTCACATGCAGATTTGTGAAGCTGTATGTCTTTGTTTCTCTTGGGTGTCACCCAGGACTGGAATGGAATTGCTGGGCCATGTGGGATGGTTGTGTTTAATTTTTAAGCAAGTGCCACACTATATTTTCCAAAGTGGCTAGATTATATGAGGGTTTCCCTTCCCCCACATAGTTGACAGCATTTGTCATTGTCTCTCCATATTTAGAACAAACTTAGAGCATACTTAGAGATATCCTGTTAACCATCTGTAAGTGTTCAGTGCATCCCTGGAAAATGTAACGCACCTCTAAAAACAAAACCCAGGAGCCATTAGAACAAAAAATGCTTAGTATCAAGTCAGGTCCAAATTTTCTCTGTTCTTAAAAAGCGCCAGACTTTGACTCCATTCCACTTAAGACTGTGCATGTGCAGTGAACCAAAGCTTTAAATATTAATCTTCCGAGGGTAGGGTCTCCTATCACCAGTACACGTAACCAATATGTGATGCATGCTGTGTTTGTTTTTTTCTATCGGAGAGATGGACCGTGGCACTTAGATGTTGCTGTTAATTTAACAGTATGGTTTAATAATTCTTATTATTGCCCTCTAATTATTAAGGCAGTATTATCTTACCTGCTATTATAATCAATAAAAGACACAAACACTGAGATATTAGAATAGCCTTATTTTACCTGGAGCAGGGCAGATATGAACCCTCTACACTACTTTCACCTCCTCGCCCCATCCCAGGCTCCCTCCAGTCCATAATTCCATAAATACTTGCTTATTCTCCCATGTAGGCCACTTGCTCCATCCATGCCACCGGTGTGCTTCTCTCCATGATAATGCATCATGGCTTCCATTTCCTTCCTCCTCCTCTCTCCCTTGATCTTTCTGTCCCCAAAGCCCTCAAACCTTAGCCACGGCTACCTCCTTCTGCCCTGCCCAGGGTTAGGCCTTTTAACCAGCCAATCATGGATAATTTCTTAGGCAAGGTTACACACATCATCTTGGGATACATGAGTGTCAGCTCGTAATGTCAGCAAGCAGGCGAATTAATTCATAATCCGTACAAAGCCCCAGACCACGTGCTTACGCTGAGAGGTGCTTTCTCCTAGTTTTTGGATGTGATCATTGCTTTGATTAGAGGTAAACTCGGGGGCTCCGAGAAGTCATGTAGGTCCTGTTAGGGAACCGGCTGCCCAAAGGCCAGCAGTGTGTCTGCTGGAGGGGCTTACTCCTTCAGCTGAATTACTGTGCTCTAGAAAATCGGAGTTTTCCGTTTCTTCTTTGCCTGTTCCCTATCCTCTTCAAGTCAGGATCTCCTTATATAGCCCAGTTTGGGCACACAGTCGCCATTGTCCTGCCTCAGCCTTCTGAGTGCTGGGATTATGGGCCATCATGCCTGGATAGGATTTTTGCTTTGTTTTGTTTTGTTTTTAAAGAGATGCTGGAGGGATGGAGAGATGGTTCAGCAGTTAAGAGCACTGGCTGCCCTTCCAAAAGACCTGGGCTTGATTCTCAGCATCCATATGGCAGCTCACAAATATTTGCCACTCCAGGTCCAGGGGACCCAGTGCTCTTTTCTAGCCTCTGTAGATACCAGGTATGCATGGGTGCGCATACATGCGGGCAAAATAGCCATACACATAAACATTTTCAAGTTAAAAAAAAAGACGGAGAAAATAGAAGTTAGGATTCTTTGATGTTGTTTTTTTCAAGACAGGCTGTCCTGGAACCTCACTGTAGACCAAGCTGGCCTCATACTCAGAGATCTGCCTGCGTCTGCCTCCCCAGTGCTGGGATTAAGGACATATGCCTTAAATGCCCAGCAACATTAGAATTTTTAGTGTGAAGTTAGCTT